ACAGTTATCTGGATACAAGCTGCGCCGTCATCACATTCTCTTAAGGGGGCCGACTTTAGTTTCAATTGCCCGATATTTCGCGCATCATAGTAAAATGAAGCGTATTTACTGTTTTAATGCAACTTTTTTCTCTTAATTATTAAAATTAAACAAAATTAAGAAATTATAGGTATGAAAATGTAATTACAATTTGATATAACTGGTTTTTTAACCGATTTTGCAATTGATAGGTAGGTTGACGTCGTTGCAGTGTGTTTTTGACCTTATGATAATCTGTAGCTCTTAAAGAAAGGGGTAATAAAAATATTATTAAATTAAAGATTAAAGTGATAAACATACGCTCTTGAAATTTAAAACATAGAAATTTGAGAATATCTCCAATATTTGTATTATGTTTTCATGTGAATCCATTGTGTATGTCATATTTTGTATAGTATGTCCCACGACCGGAACGTCACTACTTTTTGCAAAACATCTCAAAATAAATAAATACCTTGGACTTCAACCTATGTCCGATTGGTAGATTGATTTTTTCCAAACTTCCTGCATTTATCCGAACCCTCGAGTTCAACCAGTGTATACACACGGCGGCAAATTCAAAGTCTACGGGGATTTAACATTGTCAAAATGGCCACCGCCATTTTACTGAAAGATTTTAAACATTTTTAAAGATATAAATCAGCAATTTTAATTATTTTGAATTCCTTTTTTCCAAAGAATAAAATTAAAAACTTATATATATTCCTTTTGTACAACATTTCATATATATACTTCTGAACGCGTTTTCTAGTGTAGGGGAGCTACATGTAGTACTATGCGAGTGTGAAAAAGGAATTGCACCCATAGCAGAAGCAGTTGCGTTTATAGTGCTATGAACGCAATTGAAGGCTGCAGGTTCAAATTGGGAGAAAGCTGTAGGTATGCAAATATAAGAAAATGGTATTCAAATCAATTATTAAAAAAAAAAGCAAATACAAATATTAAAAGGTGAATGCATTTGACTGGTTATTTAAAAACGACTGCCAGAAAAAAGCATTTAAATTCAAAATATATGAAAAAATATTTTAAAAACATTATGTTCAAATGGTAATATACATTTCCTTTGTGAATTTCTTTCCATCATTTCTTTTTTATTTAAAAGCAAAAATAAACAAGCTAAATTTGAATACCAGAAATTGGCAAATTTTGAACAAATATTCTATTTTCAACGTTAATCAAAACATGGGGGAAAAAGATAGGGAGGAGGAAGAAAATATTGGAAGAAAAGGTGGTTTAAACAAAAACTGAGATAAAGAGGGAATAAAAGGAAAATTAAGGAAGAAAAAATATAAAATGAAATAAAAAAGCACGTTTCTCCATGTACAGTATAATTCAACACTTGAGTATACCAGGAAATGGTATTCAAATCAATTTCACAGTTACATGTAAAATTGGCTTATTAAAAAACACAGCAAATATAAACAGTAAAAGGTGAATGCATTTGACTGATTATTCAAAAACGACTGGCTGAAAAAAGCAATTAAATGCAATATTATGAAAATATATTTAAAAACATTATGTTAAAACAGTAATATACATTTCCTTTGTGAATTTCTTTCCATCACTTTTTTTTTATTTAAAAGCAAAAATAAACAAACTAAATTTGAATGTCAGAAATTGGCAAATTTAGAACAAATATTCTATTTTCAAAGTTAATCAAAACATGGAGGAAAAAGATAGGGAGGAGGAAGAAAATGTGGTTAAAACAAAAACTGAGGGAATAAAGGAAAATTAAGGAAGAAAAAATATAAAATGAATATTTTGAAAACAAAAAACAAAAAAACAATTCAACACTTTTTTGTAATCATGATAATGTGGTTAGATCATACATGTAACAATGCCTGGAAGAAGCATCTACTTTAAAGTAAAATGATTTAATTTTGAATTCTAGCCTCTTATTGGTTAATTTCCAAAGAGGAACGCAAATTATTCGGTATTATCTGATTTGGTATGGGGACACACCTCTTGACAACAAACTGAATTATCTGTATCCATGCATTCCCTTCCTTTCCAGCCCTTGGGATTCATTGAAAATTCCAGATTTAATAAATGTACCTTTAACCTCAGACAGTAGCTCGGTCTTACCTCATGTAATCAAACATCTTGGCTGCTAAGTCTATGTATCAGGTATTACATCCCTTCACTTCCGATCACTTCCGTTACCAAGGTTGTATTATGTAGCGGCAAATTTGAACTCATACAAAGTAACTCAATTTTACATCCACAGTTGCTTCGCGGATTATGAAGTGTAAACGACAGACCAGGTTATATCGAATAATTTGGCAAAGAATTAGAGACAGTCCTTAAATATATATATTTTTCAATAAATCACGATAAGACAAATATAATCATTGAAATTATTACATTCCCCAAATTACTCCTTAAGTAAAATGGAAAGACAATTAGGATAAGCTGCTTATTTATGTATTTTTAGTGACAGAAAAGAAAACTTGTGGCTTGTTCATGTTATTTTCAGAGTTGGTTTGTTAATTTCTGTAAAAAAAAATAATCTAACAAATGTAGCCCTTTCATTCAATCAATTCATAGATATGTAGACTTCACAGAAAATAATATCGACCGAGTGCGAAGTCGATAAATCCATGGACGGACTTCATAAATGGACTATATTTATATATTCAAATAAGTGGTATCACCTATTTGAATAGATAATATCACCAATTCAAATGAAAATCACCTATTCAGAAGCTGAAAAGGTGATATCACACATTCGAATGGGCGATATCACTTTTTGGGAGTAATATTTGAATAACGGTGCCTCACATGTACACTGTAAAAAATGCGCTTAGAAAATAAACACTTCATTTACATGTTTTGGCCTAAACATGTATAAGATTGTGTTTAACGGCTAAACACTTAAGTCTAAACGTGTGCTAAATTGTGTTTAACGGCTAATCACCTAGGTCTAAACGTGTGTTATATCTAAATGATGTTAAGATTTTTTACACATGTTTAAATATCATGACGTTTAAAAATTGAACACTTTTTTTTCGTGCAGAGTTATCTTTCCGGAAATGACGCATATATATTCGAATGATAAATAGAGCGGTTATCGAAACAAAGAAATTCCAAATGTAAGCTAAAGGAGATGGATTAAAGGAAGTGAATGCTAATTAAAGTGATACTCATGGAGAGATATTGAAATGCAACATTACTACGATAGAAGGTATGTATGCTATCATTTTTATTTCACATAAATTGACCACGATGTGCTACATAAATAAACATGTAGTTGTAGATCAAGATACCCTTCTGTTATGTTTTGCATTCGAGAAATCTAGAAAGGAGTACATTATACAGAATATCATAATATTTATATAAGTATCAGTACTTAATAGTGGTTATTTGAGGTTCAATAAAAGTAACGTAACAATAGCTTTCAAACATGTAAAAAAAATGTCATATAAATCCAGCTGTGAGGATCATATTTTGATAAAATTTGAATTTCTTTCTTACAGGATATGGTCCACATCGAATTTAAAAGCAAAAATACACGTATCATAGGAACTGCTAGACCATCTCCAAGTCCACAATGTTATGCCATCGTTTTTGCACTTCTTACTCATGTTACTTTCTAGAGGAAACTGAATTTTGTGAAGTATGTTGTTCGTTATATCTTTGAACAACCCCAAAAAATTCTTAAAGTATGGAATTGGATTACTTATTGACGGTCACGGATGAAAACAAAGTATGCGTGTGTTGTGCTCAGTGAAAGGATTGTTGGAAGTTGAAATTGATACAGACATGAGGAATAACTGCATGCTTGCTAAGCTGATGAAAAATTAAAACAAGCGTGTAAAAATGTATATTTAATTTAAATTTCTTTAAAATAAATCCATGTTTGAATATGTTCATTGAATAAAATGTAAACAATTGTTTTATTTTCAGTTTTCTGGAAGACAATGAATACATCCAAGTGTTTAATTTGTAAACATGTTTCATAACATGTTTTGTAAAGTGTTTAAAGTCTAAACATGTAAGTGTTTAGGATCTAAACACTTTTCGTTACACGTAATGAAATTTAATGTGTTTAGAATTTCAACGCATCAAAAAAAGTGTGACAAGAAAGTGCTTAGGAAAGTGTCTATCATCTAAACACATTTTTTACAGTGTAACGTTAAAAGTGCTGCAATTGATGAAGAATTTTGCATGAATAAATCAAAACTTGTTTGAATCTATTACAATGAATCAATCATCCATGTAGATATCCAGATGTGTATTGTTTGCCAATAGAATGCCTCAGCACTTTTTTTTTAATACCATAAATTAAAGTTTCATGACCTGCAAAAATTCATTTTTTTTCTCAGTTATATGTTTTATCAGCCTATTGGCGTATTAAAAATACATACATGTACATGTATGTTTTTTTTTTGTGTCGGAAATATCAATATTTTAAAACTATTTCTTAAAAGAAAAGACTTGTTATTTAGACACGGTATTCTAATAATCTAACAAAAATTAAAAAAAAATCTAATACCGTATAAGTGGAATTTTTAGCAAATATTTCATTTTGGCATTATTAGCGAGCTTGCTAAAAATTGAATATCGCTAAAAATCTATTGCGTTTTACTTGTAATAGCTTCCTTAATATACATTTTAAAATCGCTAAAATAACATCTCGCTAAAAATATATTACCAGTTTTTAAGGACAAATCGCTAAATTTGCGTCTCGCTAAAATTTCCACTTATACAGTACGAGGAATGTCTAAATGACATTGCTTTAACGTCATGATTGGACATTTTTAATTAGTGATTTTCCCTACTATCATTTTTAGTTCCTTGCTTTCCTATTTGGGCATCTTCCGTCTCTGTTTAATCATACAGTTCAAGCTGTGTGAACTTAACGTTTTAAGAACATCTTCAGAAGTGTTTTAACAGATGTTTTCTCAAAGATTAAACGATCACATACTTCCTTGAGAAAAGGCACTAAATAAGAACTATTTCATAATGCCAGTACATTTTACAAATGATGCACATGTTCTCGGATAAAAAGGACGATTTTAAAAATTCTGACTAGATATGGGAATTGTGAACTTGTTTGACTGTAAAATTTGATGTAAAATAAAATCAGGTAAGTGAAAGTTAGTCTGCATTAAATTTTTTAATAAAGGGGTCACTGGTCTATGTAAATAAACTTTGCGAGACCTTCAGAAAGAAGATGCAATGGGTAGCGATCGCAACCAATTTGCACTGATAAAATTTAATTTTTACTGCTTACTTTTGCATAATTAATATTTGAACATTTCAAACTACTAAAACGTAACAAAAACGTACTCATAAAAGAGAAGGAACATGAGATAAGATCAAATTATCAATTTTCTGAACTCTTTGTACATTACTACACTGTAATTTAGTATGACCTACGCTTTTAAGCATTTCCATCATATTTCTTCCATTATTTAAAAGGTTTTATGTGACAAATACTGTACCCTGTATGTATGTCTGTATGAAGTGTACATATTTATTGGCTCATTATTCTTCCATAATGCGGATATTAAAACATAAAAATAAATATACATGTGAATATGTACCCTTTCCAATAGAATACATATGGAGTTAAAGCAATATGAGATGCATTTTTGAAAATTTTATTTTGCTGGTAAAATGCGTTATTTGATTAATCTGTATGTAATCTTAACCCTTATGATCAAAAAGTCCAAAATAAAGTTAAAAATTTTTCAAAAGAAATATTTCTGTACAACCAATAATAGAGTATTATATAAGAAATCATTATTGTACGGGATGACAATAATTCAATTTTGGTTCAATCAAAGCTTATAAAAGGTGCTTCCATAGCAAATATGAAAAACAAAAGTTTATAAAGTTTACGTTCTATTTTTCTGTCATTTCAATACTGTAAGTTGTTTTAATTCCACGGTGTTAAAATTTCACGATACTTCAAAAAGTTCGAATTGCGATGGTCTTAATTTCACGCTGCAAGAAATTAATTAAAAATTTAGTATAAGCATTTAAACGCTTTAAAACAAATAATTAAATTTACGATATAAAATTAATAAATCGCGAACATAGCGAAATTAAAACCATCGTGAATATTTGCCAATCTACAGTAGTTAAGTACAAATTTGAATTATTTTTCCGATGTCACACATGCAGCTCATATTGCTTTAGATATGGAAATTAAAAGAAAACTAGAGGTACTGTGAGCAATGAGCTCACTATATGAAACCCCCAAATCCCATATGAATATAATGGCAGTGTCCATGTTTTGCTATGGAAAACCATATCATTTAGTGAGCTCATCATTGCTCACAGTACCTCTAGTTTGCGTAGTTTTCATTGGCTGAAAGTACGTCACGTGATATTTTTCCTTCGTTTGCTATCACGTTCTGTGTCTTCGATCAATGTCAATTGCCATGAGTCCTTATAACCACATATCGACCTACACTGAAGTCCATAATTGCATATTATCTCAGGCATGGGCAACTTCGTTATAAGGTCACTACATGCAAGTGTATATGTACATGCATTTTGTTTCCTAGTACAGATACAATGTATTTTATTTAATAAAAGATAAAACTCTTAAGCATTGTATTATATCATTTTAACCCCTCTCATACATTTAATGCTTGGACCCTGATAATTATAGATAAATAATTACCGATACTCACTAGTTTTAAAATGAAAATAAAAGTGTAATATCAATAGTTCATCCTTTTTATATCCTTGTTTCGATAATTAAATTTCTTATATATTTTTCTTACAAGTGTGTTGAAAGTTTTAGCGTTCATAACACGGACGTGTTGATGTTAATATTAGAGTGATATTTTTCTGTTTTGATATCACTAACCTCTAAAGGAACATTGTCACAGTTACAGATAAAAATCTTTTTTTCTATTTTTTTTTTCATTTTTACAGCTGATCAACTAAGGTCTAGTGATCATAAAAAAAATTGAACTTGAGTTGTCGAGATACAAGACAGATTTAGGGCTCCAAACATTTGTTATTGTTATGAACAATACATTTTTATAATTTATTGATATTTTGTGTATTATAATAAATCAAACAGACTTAAACTAATGATCGTACTCCAAATACTCTGCTAAGCAAAATAAACTGACACATTTTATTAATATACTTTTATTCCCATTTTAAAACTGTAGATTATACAACGCAATGTACAATGTATATCATTTAAACAAGTATAATATATTCAAAGAAATAAAAGTCTAAAATTGTTTCATCCTTTTACCATAAAATCATAAATATAAATATCAAATTGTTGGTTTTAATTGTTTTGTTCATTGTTTCATATCATGGACAGCTGTGTAGACTAAATTTATTCAGCAAAGCTCTCCGTGCCATGACAAGATAAACGTCCAAAAAAATCAAAATTCAGTGCTTTAGTGAATGTGCTATTATCAATTCTTTGTACATAATTTTGCAGAATGGACCACATTCCCCGACTATCAGAGGTCCTGTATGTTGGTCTGTGTCGTAAGATAGGGACACCGACAGTAGTGGCCATCAGAAGGGACGTGAGGGATGCAGAGGACATGATAGAGAAAACTGGGCCCACTTTCGTGAAAAACGCATGTAAAGCAAGAAAAATGCTAAGCGGTAGTTATAGGGAAGGATTCAGGTTTGATACATCTGACCTGGATTACATGGTGTGGTATTATAATTTTCAACTTATAAATGACATTTCTAAGTTAAGAGCTTACAATTCATCAAAATATGACATTCTTCTCATGGAGGACACCGATACACCACCTGGTTTTGTTAGGCTACAGCTTCTAACACCGATAAGATCCAAAGTCTTCGGTGAATCAGTCATTCCGTTTAATGGTAGAAATTATGTATCAAGTTTTTTGTGGAGACAGGTATGGTTTAAAGATCATTCTCAACGTTATCAAAATGCAACTCATCATGGGCCTTGTTTCAGTAGTATCATAGGATCTGTTTCACTTGATAGAGCCGTTTGTTTGACTAGCAGATATTGGCCCTGTAGTACAAAACAACATTGGATGGAAAGATGCGTTAGACACATGTGGCCGCCTGCGAGTATGCTTAGAGATATTTTAAACAATGATTGTCATTGTATGGCTATTGGGAGTAAATGCACGACCAGTGAAAATGAATTAGAGTGGAGATTGTCCTTTTCTCTTGCCGAACAAAAGCTAGTGTACACCATGAATCACACCCAATTTGTATGTTATGGGCTCCTTAAAATATTTCTCACTGAAGTTATCAATAAAAACGTGGAAGAACCATTACTTTGTTCGTACTTCATGAAGACAACAATGTTCTGGTTAATACAAATTGGACACATGCGAACTGGAGTCGTAACAATCTACTGAAATGCTTTTGGGTGTGTTTTAAATATCTTTTTCTCTGTGTGTATCGTGGAGAATTCGCCAATTTTTTTATTCCCCAGAACAATATGTTTTTAAACAAGATTGTCGGTGTAGCACGCGAGTCCCTGCTAGAACAACTAAATCAGTATTACAGAATAGGGGTAGCCTGTCTTCTACATAGCCCAACACTCAGAGATATCCTTATGCCAGCCCTTAGCCGTCCGTCGTTTGTGATCCCCTGTACTGAAGAACAATCTATTGACCTTGAATGTCAATCCTGCATTAATGTGTTTATGAAATACGAAGTATCAGCTCTTCATCGTATTGATTTTACTGATTGGTTTTTCTATTTAAAATATGTAGACACTTCAGTATATTTTTCTTTGTCACCATATCATTTATTAACATTACAACACTACAAAGCCGATTTTCTTATTCTTTCAGCCTTCATGATTTTCAACAATGCCACACATTTTAAACACAAATATATGTATTATTTAGACAGAAACCTTTGCAGCATGTTGAAGTTGTCATCACGGATAGGAACCATCTCCCATTCGCTGTATTTAGCTTTGTATTACTACAGGACAGGGAGATATAGTAAAGCGCTTTATGTAACTTATCTTACTAAACAAAGACTTTCAAAGCCCTACATTTTGTATCATGACCATACGGAAGGACACAGATTCGGTAATGATATAAGTTATCTATCCCTGTCTAGGGAAATGAACATTTCCTGGGTAGAAGAAATCAAGCTTTATTGTGCTGTACACTATATTGAAGAATTAGCAATAGAAAAAAATGTGAAAGGCGTTAATGATTTTATTCTTCTTTCTCCATTTGTATTAGTTGAAATGCTTTCTGTATTGTCAAACTACCGCCTTGATAACAGATCTCAGTATCTAGAGTCACTGACAGACCTTCACACACTGCTCCTTTACGATGATGGAAGGTATGTACCATTAAAACTCCGAGATATATCCTGGTATATACTTGGAATCTGTCACCAAGTTGTAGGGGACAATAAGAGGGCATTAGACTCTTATCATGAATCACTTAGACAGGAACAATTCAATGAAATACAGAATGCTGTAAAATTCAGAAAACACTATCTGCAGCAACGATTGATTAGAAATATACAAATGTAATAGCATTTCAATGCGTTCTACATCATTGGTGGAAAACAGTGCGGAAAAAATGGTTACATAATGTGCTATATAAATGTTGATGTGCCATTTTTCGGCTAACTTTGTCATCTGTTATTTAAGATTTGATTGTCTTGTATTACTTTAATTTTTTTCTAGTCATTTTTGGTGGATCAGACATTATCATATTTTGCGTAACAAATAATTTTATGTTAAAACCTTATTGGCATACCAAGGCAACATACAAGCTCAGTTTGTTTCCAAAAAATAGATTGGTTACATTTATTTATGTACATAAAACATATAAATTTTGATTAAAAACAGTGGTCCATCTATTTGCTAACTTTGTCATTTGTTCATATGATGTTAATTTTATTATTAAAAAACAAAAATAAATGTGTCTTGTTTTTTTCGGCAACATATGCACTTTTTCTGATTGGCTCATTAATGAACAGGATAAAAAACGGATAACAGAAAAAAGGGGGGCTTTATGTATATGATTTACAGATAAAAAGTATTGTAAAATTAACAAAACAATTAAACATATTCTGACAGCCACAAAAATTACACTAATTTTTAATTATTTGAAAATTTTTAAATTTTGGAGTCTGATCCCCTTCTTGACAATGTTTGTTAAATTGTACACATTTATACCGCCATATATCCTGGGTCAATACAAATGCATATTGACCTACATTGAGTCCATATTTGTATATTAATGATCTGCTACAATTTTTAAAATACTTTTTTGGTATTCATGTACTATAAATCCTATAATAATGTGGCGATTACGTTTTTTTCCTGATATGACTGTTATTATTTTACAAAAACATGTTGGAATTGCTAAAGCTGCTGTATTTTAAAGAAGTACTTTTAACAATTTGAACTTGTAACTTTATTGTAATTTAATTATATACTTTTTTGATGAGGTATATGTATTTTCTTATAGCATTCTTATAGCATTCATTTACTGTATTAGAGGTTTCATACATTATTTTAGTTTTACAAACATGCATTCTTGTACCGTATAACATGATTTTAAAATTAAACAAAATCTGCAAATTGAACACTAAAAACTTGTATCAGCTGCGTATTTCAAAAGATTGTGTGTATAATAAATAATTTCAACATGAGGCATATTTTCTTTATGATTTAACACGCACAGGTACAAAACATTTAAATGTTCAGGAATGAACGTTTTTTTCTCAAATATGAAAGTGATATAAGAAATCAAAATTCATTCTTTCTTAATCACCGTCTGTCTGTCCGTCTGTAAAATATACAATTTTCGTTTTTCTCATATGACCTCCTTAATACATTGTGACGTCAAACTTGGTACAAAGCTTCCTTGGGTGAAGGGGAATTTAAATTGTTAAAAAGTTGCAGAGTACATGAATTTTCAGTGAGAAAAATTTTCTTAAAAAATCTTCTCAAGAACCACTGGGTCAGAAAAGATTTTGAAGCATATGTGTTTTTCATGGCAGTTTTCATAATATATCCAAAAATTAAAGTGGGCCACAATGGGAATCAACGTTTTACATAGAAATATATAGGAAAAATTTCCCAAAGAAACTGAGTCATTTTGAAAAGCTTTTCCTAAGTGGAAGCATCCTGGTAATGTAGATTCAAATTGTTGATGTCATACTTCCAGAAAGGTCCTCCTTTATGCCAAAGTTTTACATAGATTTATCTTTGAAAATCTTCTTCTAAGAACCACTATTATTGAAGCCAATTTCATAACCTTTTGAGAATATTAAATTTTTAGGGCACAATAAAGCTTAAATTGTACCTTCTTCTTTATAACACACACAGTATAGGAATGAACGTTTTTTTTCAAATGAAATTAATACTGTTTAATGGAAAACTTTTTAAAACTCTAAATGACCTCAAACGGACCTCTCACACTTTTTTCTTACAACAACCACTTAATTATCTTCCAGTACTTTCAAACTAATTTTCATATATGAGGAATATTTTGTTTATGAGTTTTAAAAAACAAATTTATAACATGCACAGTCACAAAAAAATTAAACATGCTTGAACTCTGCAAATTATGAATTTTCTTCAGGGTTTTCAAATAGTTTTTCATTCAAATTGAAATGAAATAACTAAAATATTAAGATTGAATTTGTTATATTCTTCCAAGCATGGAAAGAAAAAAAAAGACAATGGGATAAAAATTGATGTACTGTAATACAAAGGAACTACATGTATATTCAAACTTAAGAAAGTTGCAAAATTAAAAAAAAAAAAAAAAAAAAAAAAAAAGAGGAGAGCTGACTTATGTAAAAATATGCCTAAAATATCACCCTTTTGTCGTAAAATACCATTTTTTCTTACTTTACCCTTTGTTGATTTTAAATATTTAAACGTCTTTTTTACAATTTCATAACTCCTTTACTTGCAAAATATTGGTAGACAAAGAAAAAATAAGAAACAAACGTAAATATTTTTTTATCAGATATACTGAAGTTTAACATAGTATTTTTCTCATAGATAATCAAGAATCAAAATCCAAGATATATGCAAATTTCTGATATATGTAATCTTTGATATCTGTATAATTAATATGAAAAGTAAAAAAAAGTTCTGGAAAACTGTAGGAAGACTTTATTTATCCGGAAAAATTATGAATTTCTGTCACTTCAATGATCGATATTTTGCAAAGGAAAAACTATTTGAAAACTCTAAAGGAAATTTATAATATTGATGTAGTTCATTTATGGAAAAAGAAGACAGTGAGAAAAGTATGAATATCAGAGTGAAAAAAAAGAGTGAAAATGAAAAAAATATACTGAAACGGAAGAAAAAATATAAAATTAGAAAAAGAACAAAAAAAACCCTTAACAATATCATAACTTCTGATGTCTGTCCGCTCATGGAAAACCAAAGATATCAAGAGGGGAAAATTTAAAGCGGAAGAAAGGGCTGTCAACAAATAATTAAGGGAAAAGAAATAAAACAAGGAAAATTTAAAAATAGAAAAAATGCATTTATTGATATGATGGATTTTCAAATTTTCATAACTCAGTATTTGATCTTTTAATATATGTCAAAGAGATATAGAATTATAAATTTGAAAATTTGGTATTAAAATAAAAAAAAAACCCACAAAAGATAACTATCTTATGTTATCACAGTTTTGCTTATAAATCAATGTTTTACTTAAGTATTTGGGTACACTTTTCATATAAATCAAATTAATTATTTCATGAATTTAACATCTAAAGGAAATATATCTCTATGATTATTTTGGCCCTGCCCTATATGAAAACAAACTTGAATCTACACTACCTGAGCATGCTTCCATATAAATATGGAATTCCATACCTTGAGAAGATTTTTAAAGAATATATATTTCTAGTCGATTTTCTTGCAAACTATTTACAAAGAGTATGGCTTTGTCAATGTTATATATTTCTAGCATTTTGTACACGTTTAAATTTTAAAATGGCTTGGTTTATAAATGTGAATATTTTGACAAAATTTTTAAAAATAATATATTTCTAGTAAAATGTACAGTGAAATGTCTAACTACCTGACATCTTCCATATAATATGATGAATTATGGTTTGTCGACTTAAATGATTTTTAAAAGAATTTTATATATTTCTTTTAATGGTATATTACACCTGTACACTGTGTAACAAAATTAAATCTACACACACATGCTTCCATATAAATATGATGAATTATGGCTTTGTCATTCTTGAAATTTTTAAAGAATCTTCCATATATTTCTATGCAAAACTTTGTCGGATAAGGCCCCGCCCTTACAGGTTTCAAACTTGAATATATATTTTCCATATAAAATGAAATTATGGCTTTGTCATTCTAGAAGAAGATTTTTAAAGAGTTTTCCTATAATTTCTAGATACATTTTGGCCCCGCCCTATCCCCGGAAGAACAAATTAATTTAACTACCTGAGCATGCTTTATAAATATGTTTATGGCTTTGTCATTCTTGAAAAAGATTTTTAAAGAATTTTCATATATTTCTATGTAAAATTTCCCCCCGCCCTAAAAAACAAACTTGAATCTACACTACCTGAGTAAATGCACAGTGCTTCAAAATTTTCATTAATTCCCAATTATCTCCCCTTGTAAGGGCTGTCTGTTGCCCCTTCACTTTTGTGGCAAGTTTGGTTGAAATTGTATTCTTGACTGTGAAAAGTTTACAGACAGACAGACGACAGACCAGCTAGACAGACATTTGCCAGACAGACGAAACCTGCAAAATGTGATCAGAAAAGCTCGAGCACTCAGGGCCATTGAGCAGTGAGGATCTTCTTATGTTATCACAGTTTTGCTTATAAATCAATGTTTCACTTAAGTATTTGGGTACACTTTTCATATAAATCAAATTAATTTTTTCATGAATTTAACATCTAAAGGAAAATGATTAATATGAAATCCGAGGAATATGGATTCCATCCTGTATAAGTCGATTTTCTTGCCCATTTACAAAGAGTTGGCTAATGTTATATGTTTCAGCATTTGTACACTTTTAAATTTTAAAATGGCTTGGTTGAAGAATATTTGACAAAATTAAAATAAATAAGTATGTACAGTGAAATGTCTAATCCGACATCTCTGAAATCCGTCACATTGTAAGTTTCGACTTAAATGATTTTCCCAATTTTATTACTTTTAATGGTATATTACACCTGTACACTGTGTAATCTGGCACACTGTCTATTCTGTCTCACAAATTCGTCTCCCAGCAGTCCTAAAAGTACCAGTTTCACATATATTTTAGTAAAACAACAGCGTATGGGTATACAGATGGAAGAACATAATTTAACAGACAGTTTGTTTCGCTAACGGTTACTGATAAACAATTTCGTAAAAAACTGTAAATGCTGCTTCAAACCGCCTGTCTGTTGACTTTCTTTCAAATGTATCCAGCAATGCATTTGCTAATCATAAAACAATGTTGAGCAGTGATAATCGCCAACACCTACTGCGACACGGAACCTCGTTTTATGCCTAGGTCACATTTCACATCCGGTAGCTAGATGTGGTAATCAGTTCCGGGTGTTAACATCGGTCCACATCGGCCTAGCAGTCCTAAA